TTGGATGAAACCTATACATTCCATCAAAATCAATTCAGGTTCAAGTAGCACAGCTTTTTGTTCTGCCTTGTTCTTAATTTTTTTAATTCAGACATAGCACCACCCTGCAGACTCTTTTTGCACTTCTCCCTGCTTTGCAGGTGTTGTAGAGAAGTGTAATACTATAAATGTTTTAGCTATGGACAGATATATAGCTTCTTTTTGTGTGGTACCAAAAGAGGAGACAATCCTTATTTCTGAAGTACCAGGATGCATATTCAGTGATAATTCAGCAGACAATAAAGTTGAACTGTTGTGCTTCTGCATATAAGGCAGAAGTACTTCTGCCTTATATTGTTACTCCTCTGCTACTTGTCACTAAAACCTGGAAAAAGTACATTTGGTTTTCTCATTAGGACACAATTCCTCTTCCAGGACCAATTGTGTTGTAAGATATTTAACTAATTAAGCTATTAAGAAAAATCTCTCCTTCACAGCAGTTTTGGATGATACCATGTTTATATCAAGATATATTCTTTTATATCTTGAATTCTTGGTTATGTAAATTACCTTTGTCATGCGGAATGACTTTTATGTGGTTATTAGAACCTTTGTCATTTAGCTTTTGCACACAGAACAGTTTCATAACTATTTGGTGATTGAAAGTAGGGAAAAGATTGATTACATTATACACAGGGCAGAAATTGTGGAGCTGAAGCTATTGATTGTGTACCTTGTTTTAAACTGTAAAATGGCTGTCTATATAAAAATTCAGTTTGAAGAAGAATCGCTTCATGAGATTTCTTGCTAATCGTATTCAAAGTCTTATCTTGATGCACATTTTCTGTTCAGGCTAGGTGTTTATTAAAGTCGTCTGCCAGATATGTAAATGTAGACTTTGACAAATCTATTTTTTGGCCGGCAATTAATTCATTTATTTCTTCATTTGGATTTGTTTCGGGCCCTGGCAGCAATGGAAGATATGAATTTAGCTGCCTTTCCATCTGTCACAAAATGATATATTATATACATTAATATGATAAATCAGGCTGGTGACTGACAAATCAAATTTGACATTCTGTCATAGCTGTAGGTATTTAATGACATAATAAGATAATCCAGTACTGGGATTTGAATAAGTTTCCTGCAGCTTTATTAAACAATATCTATGTTAATACCTTGATTGAAGGGCTAAGTTGAGTAAGAATGACACCTTTTGTCATTGTACTAAAAGGCACTGGGCTTATAAAGTTACAGTGGTACTGCATTAGGTTGGCCTAACTTTTTCCAGTTTTTTCCATTGTGATTAAACCGATTTTTTTGCACAAGTTGTTTTCTTATATATATAGAATGCAATCAAAGAAGACCAGGAATTGTGACACCTGTTTTTAATACAATACTGTCTGAGAATTTTATATGTTATAATGGTGACTCATGACTTAAAAAAATAGTGGTTAATTCTTTTCAGTTTTTAACAGTTTTCTGTTCCCAACCATTGTATTGGGTTTTCCATGTTGCCTGATTTAAAAGAAAAAAGGTCTATTTAAGTTTAAATTTGATTTTTTTTAATTAAAGCGAGATGAGATCAGAGGAAGTCTCTTGAAAAAGCCTTCTGTACAGTACCGATACACATTAATCTTCGCTGGTGTTCTGTAATTAGTGAATATGTGAACATGAGTGCAATGCTCATATTCTTTCCCAGAAAACCAACAGTTTCTTGAGAAAAAAACAATGAACTACTTTGTCACTGAAATATACAGTGTTCTCACACTCACATACTGTGTATACAGTGCTATCTTAGATGAAGATCTATTGGATTTGTAATAAGGTTTGAAAAAGCAATGTCAAAAAGAGCTCAGATGTAAAATAGGTATACTGTTACTGAAGGCAGGATCCTTCTGTCAAAAGCAGATTCAAGGGAAATACTGCAAGCAGATTTTATTTATATTAAAAGGGTTTATTACACCTAGCCTGCGAAAAACCAATGTAAGAATACTAGAGTGCACCTGAGAACAGGCATTTCAAAATAAAGAATGTGTTGTGTTTAACTGATGAATAACCACTTAATAATGTCTTTTTGGAATTTGCATTTCAGTATGCTTCAAAATAGTTAAGCACAGGTGCTGTGAAAGTGAAACTCTGTTTTTGTCTCTTTTCCAAAAGGAATTTCTGTTTTCGATTAGTTAATTTCACTATACTTTGTTCTTCTCATTTAAACACAGATTGCTACAGTTGCAAATACGGTACTAATGCACTCCAATTGAGTTATCCTAATTCTTTAGAGGTGTCCGTGTGACTGGAAAATGTACTGTATGCTGAAAAACAATTAAGTATGAGGGTTGTATTTTAATGTAGAATTACAACAACAACAAAAATTTATGTTAATGCATCAGTGGCAAATGGGAAGAGAGACTGGATTAATGGTTTTGCCGTAGCTTGTAAAACTTAAGTCTCGCAGACATTTGTTAATGCAGTGTTCTTGTATTAAAAGATATAGTGCTGAACCCAGCCACTGTATTAGCACAGAGGCAGATTACATTTTTATTTACATATAATTGGTTTGCCTAAGAAGGTTTACAATAAAACATTTTATTAGGTCTTGAATGTCACGTATCTTGTGGGTTCCAGCTATTTTTCATTGCTTCAGTCTGTCTTCTCTGGGTCTCTCTGAATGGGGAAAAGACAAATGTTTGCAGAGGCTGATTTGGAAATGGCATCCCTGAAATACAGCCTTGTACGAGTCTCAGCAAAATGGTTACTGCAGCACATAATTGCCCTCACAATGATGTGTTTTGTCATATTATTTCCTACTTCAAGGAGGCACTCCTGTAGCCCACTGACAGAAATGGTGGTATTTGAAAACATATGGACATGCAACGGCATTAAGCAGGCTGCAGGCAGGGGATTAGCACAATGGCCTCCTGAGCAGGGCTCCGTGCTGGTGC